TCGGTACTCGTTATACGGATGACGAGCAAAAAGTAGTCCGTAATTTAGAGCAGGCTTTTGGTCCAAGCTTCCCAAGGTTCTTTGCTGACCATGTCATTATCGTATTCACTTACGGAAGTGACTATCGACTGAAACATGGGTCTGCTCCTTTTGAGGGTTGGGTGCTCTCCCAAATGGCCGATATGAAAAAACTGTTTAAAATGTGTCAAGGCAGATGTTTGCTGTTTGATAACGTAACTTGCTCACCAGAAACAGCCACTGAACAAAGGGAGAAACTACTGGACGCTGTCTCCAGGATGACCAGGAAATTTACAATTGAAGACTACGAGAAGACGATGCCTCATCGCATGAAGCTTTTGTCGGAACTGACAGTGTCTAACAAATGGCCTAAAGTTCGAAGAATTCTACAAACCATCTTCCGTTTGTGTCGGTCGCCTTTTATCCTGTTGCCTCTTTCCGTTTTCATTTTTATCTCTTACTTCTATTTTCCGTATTCGTATTTTTATAAGCCTTCTGAAGCTGACGTTTCCATCGAGAACGTCGTCTACGCTTCCCCAAAGAACGTCGTCTGAAGAAGGTCCCTTCGTGTGTCTATAACAAACACAGACAGCGCTCTCAAAAAGCAAAAGTTATTTTCTAACCTGACTTTTATACTGTACATGGTCACTTTGAATGGAACGAAAAGCGGATTGTTGTTTTCCTGGTTAGGTCAACAAAGCAAAAGACTGTCGCCGTGGTTTAATGCACCCCGCATAATTTAGCAAAATTTGATCATTTTCGCATAATTTCAGATTATTTTCCTTTATTTTTATCATTCTTTGTTAAAATTAACAGAATCGCATAATTTCACATTTTTGGGCTGTTTGCATAATTTCAGAATTTTTCTTGCATAAAACGACGGGGACAGAAGAGAAGAATCTCATTATCAGCAGTGAATATTAGTTGAAAAAAAAAAGTTTTGATAGTAGCATACCATAGACATAGAGGTGTGAGTTAGGGTAAAGAAAAGCGATGTATGAACAATAGAACAGTCATTATGATTTAGTGCTGGAGTATAGCGAAGCAGAGGCAGAAACAACAGAGGGGAAAGAAAGAAGTAGAAAGTACCTTGCAGTAGTGATCTCCAACCTTAAGCCAACCCGGAAGATTATGTTTCGTATGAGAATAGTTGATAAAAGAATCCAATATAAAGTTTTTACCTTTCGTTAAATGTCTGTTAACGAGAAAGCCCCATCCTAACTATCTGAGCTTTTAATACTATATGTTCCATCTCGTCAGTTACGGTCATCCACAGATGCAACAAAATTCAGAGCCCCTTGAATGAAATTATGATCTTTTGGTGATAAAAGTTTTTGTTGTTTTTTTTTTTTACCCAAAAATCTGGAATACCTTGCCTCAGGATCTCAGAAAAACAACAAATTTTGATAAGTTTAAATTTAAGCGATTGCTCAAGACTCATTTGTTTAATTGTTAGTTATAGTGTGTTAGTAAATTCTGATGTTTAATATATATAATAGATGTATGTAAAATACATAATATAATAATATATTTAATTTTTTTAAAACTGTCCTTTCGTGTATAGTTAAAGTTAACGTATGGTTGTGAAAGTTCTTCTTTATGTGGATGAACGGGTTTTTCTTGTTTCTGTGAAATATTTTTTTTTGTGTAAATAATTATGTGATTGGTGTAAAGTAAAGTGCTCAGAGCTTATACTAGTATGGGATAGAGCACTATATAAATGCAATCTATTAATTATTATTATTTGTGCTTATTATACATGTACTGGTGGAATCCACTTAAATTGAAACCGAATATGATTAAAACGAAAACTGCGGTAAATCGAACAAAGATAAAATCCCCGATATATAATTATAAAATTGTATTATGTGTTTATGTATGTATGTATGTATGTATGTATGTATGTATGTATGTATGTATGTATGTATGTATGTATGTATGTCTGTCTGTCTGTCTGTCTGTCTGTCTGTCTGTCTGTCTGTCTGTCTGTGCGTGCGTAAATATGTATGTATGTATGTATGTATGTATGTATGTATGTATGTATGTATGTATGTATGTATGTATGTATGTATGTATGTATGTATGTATGTTTGTATGTGTGTGATTGTGTGTGTGTACGTACGTAGGTAGTACTTATGTATGTATGTATCTTGTATGTATGTATCATGTGTACCATTTATGTAAGGATATGTTATGTTATGCCGTTTACCTTGGGATGAGCATACAGTTTGCGGTACAGCGGGCTGGTGGTGAAAGGTCATAAGTGCCGAAGATTAGATTTAGAGGTGTTACAACAGAGTAACAATCACAAAAAAGAAGGGAGATAAGGATGATAGATTTTGTTATACATGTAGGAAAGAAGGAGCAAACCACACCAGAGCACCTGCCAACCGCCCACATTGCAACTGAAAGTTAATCATGTTTATGTTGCCTAGATTGTCTCAAGTTTACATGATAAAGCCAGATGCTGAAAAGATGTCTACCAAAATTCAACAATAAAAAAAGCTGTCGTCCATATATCTCTCTTCTTCTTCTTTCTTTTGTGTTTGACATGTACTTCTCGTTGTAACACCACCTCTAATCTTCAGCACTTATATGACATAATTGTGTTGTAAATGACGTAAAACTCTTACTAAAACACACATATAAACAGCAAACCAACGGAAATGATGCTGTCATTAAAATTTGAGCACTTATAGAAAGTTTATGCGCTTTTATATAAATTCTAAATAATTTTGAACATGAAACACTGCAGTTTTCGGCAGTTACTCATACATTGTACCTCTTCAATCATAGCTTCAGTTCATCCGCCACGTGTCGAACCCGGGACCTATTAATTATTGAATGAAAGGCGAACACCGTGCCTCTAGGCCACTAGAGTTCCCCAAGAGAGGCCTGAGATTGTTAAACTTTAGACTTAGAGAAATGACAGGTTCATCAATGACGGTGTTGTTAGATGCTGGTAGATCTTGTCAGTTTGTTAGTGTTTTAGCGCCTATATGGCAGCTGGCACTGTATGCTTCCCAAAAAAGTTCAGATTGTTTCTCAGAATGCTATCAGGTTTTCTGGGGTAATAATAGTATAGAATGTGAAGCGCATAGAGCTTGATCTTGAGCGGGAATTTGCTGTACAAATGCTATATATTATACTCGTGTATATCTATATATATATATATATATATATATATATATATATATATATATATATATATATATATATATATATACTAAAAGACAGGGGGTTTTGCCCAAAATTTTGGTAGGCTGGTACATTCTATGTTTCCTAATGAAACAGGTGTTCCAAGAGAGTAACAAGCACAAAAAAGAAAGAGGTGAGATGAGAACAACACATGTTTGATATGAAGAAAGAAGGAGAAGACCACTCCAGAGCTAAGGTATCGAAGATGCAGATTCCATTTTTTCTTCCTTCTTTCCCCTTGCCGAATCCCAACTAACAGACTGGCGCCATCTGATGGGGGTATAATGTTGTGTAGGTGAATCTTAGCTTAGTCAACACATAGTTATGGTGAAGTTAGTTTTGTGTTTGCTAGACTGTTAGTGTTATAATGTTGTGATGCTGATGATGTTGTTGATGATGATAAAGTTGAGAGTGTTACTGCTCAGATGTGAATAAAGAACATCATTTTTAAATTAGATGTAAAACCTAGAAACATTGTTGGCTTTCAGAATAGTGTTTCTTGAAATTAATTTTAGTCATGTTGCCTTCATGCAGATGAAAGTTTATCATGTAGCCAAGATTGTCTCGAGTTTTCTTAAAACAGCAAGTGCTAAAAAATTAAATAAAACACTCAACAATAAAACAATCTGATCCATCTATCGTCCTTTTTGTGTTTTATTACTTCTCTTGTAACAGTACATATATGTACCTCTAACCTTCAGCACTTATATGACACAATTGTGTTGCTAGTGCCGTAAAACTCTTACTAAAATACACATAAACAGCAAACCAACGGAAATGCAGTCACTACAACTACAAATTGCGCATTTAGAAAGTTTATGTGTGCGTTGAAAAAAAAATCAACATAGAGTTGGAATCATGAAACTGCAGTTTTTAGCAGTTACCAGTACGACATGGCATCTCTTCAATCATATGTTCAGTTCATCCGTGAGATATCGAACCCGGGACCTATTGAACAAAAGGCGAACACCGTGCCTCTAGACCACGAGAGCCCCCCAAGAGAGGTCTGAGATTGTTCGAGATTGGTACATTATGTACGTTGACTGAGAGAAATAACAGGTTCATCAACAATGACCGAGTTGTTCGATCTATGCTGGTACACATACTAAAGGACAGGCAATTTTGCCACAGTGTGCGTACCAAAAGACAGGCAATATTGCCAGAGTGTGGAAGGCTGGTGTGTGTCCTAATGGAGCAAGTGTTACATGAAGGCCTACAAGACTGTCCCCGCGGTTTTATGCTAAACAAATTGTGAAATTATGCAAAATGAGCCCAAAATGTGAAATTATGCTATTCTGTTAATTTTAACAAAGAATGATAGAGGAAAATAATCAGAAATTATGCACAAAAAACGATCAAATTTTGCTAAATTATGCGGGGTGCATAAAACCTCGGGGTCACACAAGGGAGTAACAAACAAACAGAAAAAGGAGGTGAGATTTAAGGACAACAGATGTTTGAGTTTGAGAGGAAAGAAGGAGCATACGTGTACTACAACAGAGCCAGAGCTAAGGCATCAAAGATGCAGATGAAATTTTCACCTTTGCCCAATCCTAACAGATTGACCTCTATTCATATCGTTTTACCGCCAGAGAATCATTTAAGGTCCCCTAAGATGTCAGAAACAACCACCCTACTCTGTGGGCGACATCGGACAAACGTGAAGGACACCTCGGACGAATAGGGGTGACTTCGGACAGTACGTCTCATCATGTACCGTATCAAAGACATACATGTATTATTTTTGAGAGGCAAAACTTCGACACAATGTAATCTATTATAATTTTACCTTTTGTTTGAGGTGTGGGAATGTATAATTTCATATTCACTGGAAATCGTACAGAACATTGATCCAACTGTTATGAACCAGCCCTCTTTTTTACGCTCTTATCTGCTCTTGTTGACTTGAAATCTCCCCTTAACATTGTAAAACAGAGCTCATGCAGTAATGCTCCTACCTAATACTAATACAGTAACAAGCTGTGTTTTTGCTGTGATAAGCAGAGACGAAAAGAATTCTTTTCGGCCACGCCAAGTTTCCGAATCTGTCAACGTCTGGATTTTATGAGAGCACAGTATTTTAATGAAGAAGCTCCATTTGCTAAACTATTTATCGCTATTTCTATAAATGAGCGATGCCCTCTAGTGTGGTCAAAAATTCGTGGCTCGATTTGTTGTCTCCTCAACTATTGAACATAAACTCTCCAGCTTTTGCACAGTGACTTGTATCAATTTGTCTTAACAGATCAATATTTTTGTAAAGACCTGTTAGCTAGCTCTATTTTTTTTAGAAAATTCCTTAATAAATTCTAATAAAAAATCCTGTGGGTGGTTTCTACAAATTTTAAAAGGGACGATATCGCTTTCAATAGCAAGTCCGTCATTTTTTTTTTCTAATCCCGAGTTTATCTTTATTGGCCGCATGTTTTGAGAACATTTAGTGCAACAAAATTGTTCTCTACAACATTAATTCTTGTAACTAATCTAGTTTTGCCACTAAAAAGTGTCTATGGTGAGCTGTGACGTAACCAATGTATGCGTATACAAAATGTATGTAAGGAGCGGGAAGTGATGTGAACAGTTCTATTTTCCGCGTGAAGGAGGTTTCTTGTTTTCTATATAAATTTATGAAAGAATTTTTTTTCAATCTAGCCTCAACTGTTGTGGAAAATATGATTTTAATTAAGTTAAGACAAATTGATTCAAACTGCTGTGCCCGGTGACATTGATTAACCCGTTTTCAAGATATTTGAGAAGTTGCGCCTCGAAGTTTTGACCGCACTATAGTTCGAATTCAAGTAGGCCTACTGTATGTGTGTTCTTGAACATGTGATATTGAGGGATTATCAATAGTTTTCATGGCTTCCCGTCACGTCCTGACGAAGAAGGACGTAAAATTGGAGACCCACCATCTCAAATGACCTGACAGTTATAAACTTAATCTGTAGTGTTCCGGGAGGCTTACCACAACCAAATCAAACAGCTAAAGGAAACAAAGTGTGCATATTATAAACAGTAAATAAGAATTTTCATTTTGAAAAGAGCTTCAATTGCTGTACATGTACTTTAAGCTTTTGAAGATGAAATTCAAAAGCGCAGGAGACTCTTCTTCAATGAGGACAGATACATGAATGAATGCCATTTTAACGGAAAACTTACGGGAGCTTTTTGACCTCTTTGTTGAGCCTCGAACCGGAAGAGGAATTTTGGTCTCATTTTACAATGGCCAAATCTTCCACATGTGGCTTGATGAAGGAATTATTTTTATAAAGTACATTTTCTTAGGTAGAACGTCCAAAGTTACGCTCTTCGTCTTTCTCTGACACCAGGTTCCCAACGAAGTGGGCACACTCTCCAATAATCCCAAGCTCGATGACAGCAAAATTGTATTCTTTAGGTTCCACGGGAAAAGCGCCACTTTCGAACAAGAACCCAGAAAGCCAGTCTTTTCGGGTAGATTGTGTTCATATGTCATGTTTCTAGCATGATTATAATGTTCGCCATGACAGATTATGATAATAACAAACGTTGGGCAAGAAAAAAAATATCCTTGAACATTTTATCAAATACTCCGAGAGGTTTTTTCCCCCAGAGGATCATCAAAAAATCATAAACGAGCGTCTCTAAAATGCAACAATGTCTTCAAACCTTTTAGAATATAATATTTCCAAGTCGACTTCTCCCCACTGTTACTAACAGTGTTAGCTTCTGCATTACGCAAAGACAATGAGTCCTTAACAAATTCATGCATGGCGAGTTTCTTCATCTTTTCGTGAGCAAAAAGGCTCTTTTCTCTTTGGGGCTCTATCTCCTTAACATGGTTCAGTCCGTACAAAGTCCCCCCACCACCTGTACGAAGTCGCCCTATATGTGGAGGTAGTGTAGATCTAGATAGGAAACATGTCCGTGAAACAGACATCATGAACGCCGGGTTCAGTTTTATGAATTTGGTATGAAACAGACACCTTAAACTTAAAGCACAGATTCATATTTTTGTGAAAGGATTGGTGCACTATAAATATGAAATTGGGGCTTGTAAACCTCACAAACTGAGGGGTGAAAACTTAAGTTAAACTTACACCCTTGTCAAAAGCACAATTTCGTTCACAGCAGATGCACGATTTCGCTCAGTGGTTGTAAAAACCCAGCAAGCTAAAATATCAAATGGTGCATTATTTTGTCCCCGCGGTTTTATGCAAAAAAAAAAAAATATATATTCTGAAATTATGCAAACTGAGCCCAAAAATGTGAAATTATCAGATTCTGTTAAATTTAACCAAAAATGATGAAGGAAAATAATCAGAAATTATGACCCAAAAATGATCAAATTTTGCAAAATTATGCGGGGTGCATAAAACTACTGGGACAGCTTATTGTAATCCAGTGAAAAAATGTGTAAAATCAAAATCAAGTTTTGTGAGAATTGACGTGTCTGAGGCCTCCCTAAATTATTATGAAGAAAATAGAATAATAATAATATTCATCATGTATGAGGTGAGTACGTTTGGTCACCTTTCTCCCCCGAAGCCAAGCACGGTTCGTCCACAGAGCATGGTCGTGCAGTGCCGCCCAAAATTGTGTAAAGCTCCCGCAATAATAAAATAAAAGTATTAAAAGACGCCAGATACAAATACTAGTCACATATGTCAAAACAATGTCCTTGCTGGCGCCGTAACTGTCATTTCTGTGTCTATAGTGCCGTAAAACAAAGACCACGCGCTTTAACTTTTAACTAAACGTGATAGAATATATATTCAACAGTGATAACCTGACCTATAAATCACTTTTTGGGGCAAACCAAGCGATGACGACATTCGTAGCGAGTTTGGCGGTACATTAATATTAATAAGTCGGCACATCTCAAATGTGCTCCTGCCGAATAGTGCCGAAACATAGCCCACAGTAGGCAGTCTAAAAATAAACGCCATAGACTTACACTATTCTATGCCAAAATTATGTGAGCGCCAGAGCAATCCAGCAGAGTGCTCCTGTGAATTCTGATTGTTTTATTGTCTTGCCACTAGGCTATTTTATGTGGCTGTTTGACCCTGAACCTGAGACAGATGAACGTGGCATACTCAAGTCACCGTCCTATGAGTTGTACCTTTGAATGGTTTCGTTGAGGAGAGGTGAAAGTTATTACTGGGTGCTTGAGTGTTTAGTTCTAATGTAGGATGAACGAAATTGATGTTAAGCTAACAAACAGATTCAGTTCTAGAAATCGAAGCGACAAGTAAAAGGAATGAAAATAAAAGCACGAGGTCCTACGTCACCAACCCAAAGATCCTAAAATTATACACCATCCCATTTACTATGCCCTTGGCTATCTTCAGCTTGTGATAGCTTAATCAATTATGTACGCCCACTTTTTAGACCCACGAGCCGCCCCTGCCCGAAGCCCATTGACTCTCCCACAAGACGACCCCCCC